GTAGCTGAAACGTTCGGGCCTCTGCGGAGGCGTTAGTCCATCCCGGCGGTCTGAGCCAGCTTGCTTTGCTCTTCACGTGGACAAGTACCTTGAATGGAAGCACGCAGATTTTCCTTGTTATTCACTAAAAAGATAATACATTGAATGTACATGCTGTATTGCTGTATTTTCCAAAAATATTCTATTGGATTGTTTATTATATTTCCTAATTATAGTGCTGCATTTGATACGGTTCTTGGAATAAATGTTGCAGTCAAGAAACTAAGCCGCCCTTTTCAGAATCAAACTCATGCAAAGAGAGCTTATCGCGAACTCGTCCTCTTAAAATGTGTCAATCATAAAAATGTGAGTTACGCATATGTTTCTTCTATATGCTTTAATGTTGTCAATGATGTCTTAATCTTCAGGGTCCTTTGAAGATACATCAAGTTGAGACCTAGGATAAACTAATGATAAAAATGGCTATTAAAATGGTTATGTTTTATTGATAAAATTCTTGATGAACATTGGGGAAACTGAACTTAGAAAAAGGTGTCATGATCCACAGGAATTTAGGTCAGTCAATGAAGGTAGGCGTGCCAGGTAATCCTGTAACCATTTGGTTTTCACTGTTTCCATCTCTGTAAAATAGGAACAGCATTGACCTAACAAATGGAGACATAACTAAATATTTTTTGGAAAAACATTATAAGTAGCTTTTTACCTTGTATAGGACATCTCAGTTTTAAATACACGTTATTAGATGATTTTACATTTCAGATAGCTGCACTCGGCGTCTCCACAGAAATCAAAGCGCTAACTGTTAAGGAGAAATGATGCATCTAGAAAATGGGGTTATGTTCGGTCAGCACATCGCGTGTGCTGCTGGTGGTCACTGAGCGTTATTTCAGTGACCTCGTCATGTTACGGAAACATAAAATGTTAAATCTGGAAGGGGCTTTGGAGATCACCTTGTGTCACCCCCTTTTTTTGGGGGGGGCGAATATTTAAGATTATGTTAAACTCTACATAGTTCCCTGTGTTGTAACATTTATGCCGGACCCTTCTGGTGTAAGGACATTAAATACGAAACTAAGATAACTTCGTTCTTTTGAGTCTCTGGTTTGACTTGGTTTTAATTCTCCAAGGCGTGCTTTGTTTTACTTATTTATTTTAAAACCTTTTTTTCAGGTAGCGAAAAATGTTATATTGTTAAAAATTCAAACAACATAAAAAATAAAGCAATAGTTCTTGAATCCCACCACCCACAGATCACTGGCATTAACGCTTCATGCGTATTCTCATGCATACGTGTGCACGTACACATAAACAGGGTCAATCATGCTTTTCTTCATTCTGTTTTCCCCCTTGTTGGAATGTTGGTAGATCTCACAGACTTTAATGAACACAGATATAAGCTGTTTTTTAAATGGCTCCATAGTACAGATGCACACTAATTTATTTAAAAGGCCACCTGTTGTTGGATAATTTGTTTCAGTTTTTCACTGTTATAAGCAGTGCTGCAAGGAATATCTTTATACATGAATCTTTGCACACTTAGTCCACGTGAATTTCTTGGCCAACATTGCTGGCCAAGAGTGTGTACACTTTTGATTTAAAATATGCTGACAAATTGACTTCAAAGAAGACTGTCAATGTTATACTTCCATTAAGTGTATCTAAGAATGTCTTGTACTTCAAAATCCCCTAACGATACATATTGTTGGGGGCATTTTTTGTTTTACTTTTGCCAATTTGATAGATGACAAATTCTTTATTTGTGAGGTTATTAGTCATTTATTTTTGTTTTATTTTATTGAGAACTTGCTTTTTATGGCCTTTGTTCATTCTTCTCTTGGATGGCTTGTCTCTTTTGTATGCATTTGCAGGAGGTTTTTGTATATTAAACCCCTTT